GTCTGTGGGCTATCCTTGCGGGAAATTCTTCGTTCAGTAGTCCCTCGAAGTATTCTTCCCACCTCTTTCTGACTTCGGCTGGTTTCCTGAGAATGGCCCCGTTGCGCTCTTTACGACCCTGATGTCCTGAGCCGCGCGATGCCGAGCTTTAGCCAGGCGGAAGACGAACTTGTCCCCTTCTCGGCCTTCCAGCTTGTCGTACAGGGCGTCCATTTCCGTATTCTTGGCCTTAGCAACGGCTGCCTTAGCGAGTCGCTTGCAGCTCTTGTAGGCAGCGTAGTCTTCTGGGCTCCGTGTCTTTTGCCAGCGTTTGTATGCTTCCTTCTTCTGCTTGACGATCCTCTGGACTTCCTCGTTCCAGAACCAGGCTGCCTTGTCTCCTCTGATACCACCTCGCGTCTCTCCCAGGACTTCCCTTGCACACTGTAGGATGACCTCTGCTGCGTAGGTCCAGGTGTCCTGGACTGGCCCATGTGGGTCTGGGAGCCCAGCCTCCAGTATTCTTCGGCCGAGGCTATCCTTTTCTACCTTGCGCATTTTCCACCACCGAATTCTTCGCTCTGCTCTCACCCTCGTCTTCTTGGGGAGGTCTATGGCGATGTCTGCCAGGAGAGGCCTGTGCTGAGGGCCCAGCTCTTCCCCAGGCAGTACCTTGATATCCTTGACGGTTTTGAGAGACGATCTTCTGACCAGGACATGGTCGATTTCCGTTTGTCTCCCTCCACTGCTATCTTCTGAGTCCTCCTTTTCGCGAAGAAGGTGCTACAGATTGCTAAGTCGTGAGCTGTGGCTAGGTCAAGGATCCGTTCTCCCTCAGCGTTCTTTGCACCTACTCCTTGGCCTCCGTGCTTTCTAGACCCCTTCTGTCATTTCCCACATGGCCATTCAGATCCCCAGCTATGGTGAGGTAGTCATCTTCCGGAACCGATCTTATGGCCTCGTCCAGGGTCAGGTAGAACTCATCCTTTTCCGCCTCGGAGCAACCGGATTGTGGTGCGTACACGGTCAGTACTGTCCAGTACCCCTCCTTCGTGTCCATTCTCACTCCCATGATCCGATCACTGATTCTGTTCACAGAAGAGACGCAGTCCTTCAGGGATTCTGCCACCGCTATGGCCACGCCATTCCGTTTGGTGTCTGCTCCATTGTAGAAGAGTTTGACACCTTCTCCAATCTCGCGGGCCTTCCATCGCGTTTCCTGAAGGCATAGGACTTGGATATTCCTCCGTCTCATGAGGTCGGCAACCTCACGAGACTTCCCGGTAAGCGACCCCACGTTCAGGGTCCCAATTCGAACTAGCTTCTTTGGCCGAGGTCGTTCACCCCTCGGTAGCCCTCGCATACTGACCACAGAACTCGGGCGAGGGTTCTGCGCGCCACTTCCGGGTGACGTCCTAGCTTTAACACTGATACTTTTGCGACTTGTCATGATTGTTGTGACGGGTTCCTCCATCAGCCGGCCTGTCAACCTGGGCCTCGTCCCCATTTTTGCAATTTTTGCAAGGCAGGTTTGTGCCTCGGCAGGGATCGAACTCGTGGCTCAGGGTGTGAACGTGAGTCTACACTCTTAACCACTCGGCTATCCCTGCCTCATTTTCTCATGGTCGCTATTTTCCAGTAAACACGTCACACACATCGATGAGATTGAACAAAAAATGCGATAAGGGGGCGGAACAAAACAGAGTGACGGCGTTTAAGGCGGTTGTGCGCTGAACCCTCGAAGGTAGGGCAGTTGACGTATTGCTGTATTTTTAATCGAACAAATTGGATCCTGATGCAAATGTCACGCCTGCGACACCACTTGCAAAGCCAGTTTCGCGCGTTTACCATTAGATCCTAGTCCTCGCCGATTTTGATGAGCACAATCGCCACATTCAAGCAGCTTGGCACATTTCATTCGACTACGTAAACGTTCGGACCACATACTTTGCAGAGTAAGGGAAACAAAACAGCGGCGTATGGGGCGCTCTCACAGATGGGTGGGGCCTATTCTTAGAATCCGCAGTTCGACTAGAGAACAATTGGGGGAGCGATGAAGTGAGAAAAGGAAAGGGAAAGGGAGGGCACATCGTTGTTGGGGGATTCCCCACAGGATGAGCGGAGGTCAAAGTTTTATTTGCCTCGCCAGGAGGGGTCGTATTTGGGCGGCGAGAAAAATTTATTTTGATAGTTGATTTTTCTCGCTTCACGGACGTTGTAAAATGGAGGGGGGGGGTCGTAATTTACTTTTGGCCTTCTAGGAGTCGTGGTTGGCTTTCTATGTCGTTCCATGTTTCATCCGTAAACTATATACTTCCCCCCTCGTTCATCACCGCACCCCCGTTTTACAGCTTCGAATATCGATTGAAGGAGGGACAAAGGACCGAGAGGAGGGGGTCGACGGACTTAGTCCAAATTTCCAACTCATTTGATGGTGACCTGGAGAAAGGGTATGAAACAGATACTGGAAGCATACCCTGGGGCGAACGTGTGGGCCACAATATGGGTTCCTTAGATTCAAAATTATCTGTTTCGCGGTTTCCGAAACAGCAGGGAGAGCGGCCAATGGAATTGATTATAGCTTGAAGCTGATATCTTTGAAGTCAGCGGATTCCCGTGCAGACGCTACCGGGCACAGATATTAGACAAGTAGAGAAATTAACCATCACAGAGCAAGCATGGTCAAAGTGGAATTCTACCAGGAGCCACAAGCGCTACTATTTGAAAAGAAGTATGGAATCAGCACTTGTTAGATCAAGGGAAGCTCTTCCCCCAATTTCCCAGCGGAGGGCGCATTCGAAACGTGCCGGTTACCATCTAAGTGAAATCCTTACAGAGGCACATCGTTGTTGAGGGAATCCTTCAAAGGGAGAAACCGCCAGGAGGAGAGGGGGGATCGTATTTGGGCTGGGAAAAATTTATTGGTAGTTGATTTTTCTCGCTTCACGGAGGTTGTAAAGGGGGGGGGGATCGTTCTTGCTCATTGTGTGGAGGGGGTACGTGTTTTCATGTTTGGCTTGTCTTTTAAGGAGTGTTGGTGTTTGACTTTCGGTGATTTTCCTGTTTCATGCGTACGATATGCCCTTCCCTCCTCCCTCCTCCCCCGCCCGTCGACTGCAAAATTCTTTGGGGAAAAGTAGGAAAGTTTTCGGGAAATTTTGAAAAAAGTGGCAGGAAGTTTGGGGAAAATCTGAAATTGGTAGAAGGGGGGGGGGGCGTATTGTCTCTTTGTCTTTGTGTAATCGTGACAGACTCAAATAAAAATTCCGCCAACCATTGGCATGAGCCAGTTCTAGGCACGGTTCATACTTTGCGGCAGCGTTCACCAGCGACCACCAGCATTCCGAGCGTCTGACATTGTCAGCGACTATGAAAGTGTAGCTATCGATCCAAGGAAGACGGCGCACCTGCGTCCCAACAGCGGACCAGCCTGAAGAGCAGTGGGCGGTACAGCCTGTAGACAGGACAGGCGTACTGAATGAATGGCAGGAGGGTAGCATATTGCTGTTCGAGAGCATGGAGCGAAGGGAGGGTACCTGCTGTCTGCTAACCTCTTATCGCCTTATACTCTCTACCAGCAATCTGCTACCCTCCTATCTCCTACTATATTTGTCTGTTCCCTCCTATCACTTCATACTCTCCAATTCTGGGCGCTGCCGGTCGCTGGTAACTGCTGGTCAGATCGAAATCTATACTTCTCTAGCCCTGGAGGCGCTGCTGCCGCGAAGTATGAACTCAGCTCATAGGTTCATTGACCAAATCTCGAGCTCTACTTCAAAAGCGAGGGGGTAGACAGATGATGAAGCTTTATGTAAATCGACAGTTGATAAATCAGATTGATGAGAGTATTAGGCACAGGTAAGAATAAATGGAGTCTGAATACATGCACGAATGGTGAATAGACGAATGAATGAATACATGAATGAATGATAAAATCATCGGAAAAAAACAAGAATACAGAAAAAAAGCGACGAGCTGCTCATAACTACTGTAGTGAGGACTAGAGATAATGAGAGTGAATGATAGATGGGAGGTGTTCGTTGAATTCTTGCTAGTTCACGGATCAGACAAATGGCAGTGGGGGGTCGTCTAGGGGAAATGAAGGAGAGCTGCTCTCGAGATATGCCTAGCTGAACTGGGACGTAAGCGAAAATGTGGATGACTAAATGGATCAAGCCAAATGTACAATGCACAAGCGATCGAATAAGCTGGAAATAAGACTTGTGATGGAGTCAATACAGCTCAATAAATCGATAGTGAATAGCATGGAGGAGAACAGATTTAGATAGGAAATGGAGATTGACGACGGCAACGCACATATATACGCACACTAATCACAGAATTGCCAGTTTAGTTGCTGGTTCAGTTGCCAACGATCTGAATTCCGCTAAGCTCAACGTCGCCTTGAATCTGGAGACCTCCGACTTCATGAGGGTCGATGCGATGAGCGTAGGAGGCGAATCGCTCGCCGTTCACGAAAATCTGAAAGTTTTAGTTGTAATGATGGTGAAGCTACATACAGTTAGAAGGAAGACAGCGACCTCTTTTGCAGGGAAAAACTGTATTCAGAGAACCTACCATTTTCCAAGGAAATAAAGGAGCGAAACCGTCATACTTTGAAATAAGGCGTGGGCGGACTGCCCACTAATATTAGCTGCAGTTCCTGTATTTCACGGTCTCCCTTCCTGGTCAGCCTGCTCTGGCCGCCTGAATAACCTCTCCCTCACGGATATTGCGACTCTACAAGAGCTTCACAAGTGCCTAATTTCAGTAACCTGGCTTGTGAAGTTACCAATTTTGGAGCGGAAACGGAATTGAAAGAAGCTCATTTTCAAAGGAAAAATCACTCCTCAAATTCGTCTGATGTACAGCTACAGGCACTGAGGGTGTACTCCATTAGAAGAACAGCAATCGTAGATCGCATGAGCGGTGCTGCAGACGCTGGGGCCTATCAGAGGTGGAGGTCGGATTTGGCGTAGCGCCAGCCCTTTCGTATTCGCCATGAATAATTGAAGCGGGCTGTTGCGAAAATGAACCCAGCCCCTCCGACACCCGCTACCAGCAGAGACTTCGCTCGCTTTTACCTACAGCGTTCTACAAAGTAAGGCACGCAGGAGGGAAGATCGAAAGGCATAACGTCAGGATTGATCCCGTCTA